AAGTGAACAAAGTGAAATATTTCAGATGTGGTCGGAGATGCAGTATTAAGAGTCCTAACTGGAAGCTTTTCAGTTTGTTCTGAGAGTTTGGACACGGCTAGGATTAAAACAAAAGTGGCAAACAAGTAACGAATTGCAGCGCGTTTTGTTCCAGGACAGAGTCACAGAAAAACAAAAATAAGCTAAATTAAATATATATATATACTCTACAGTACTGCCAAAGTTACAAAAATAATCCCTCAAATAATTATGTTGATCCTACTGAACAGATTAAGTGCCGAAGCAGTGCAGTAAATTCCCGGTGCAGTCTCTCGTGTTTTGGGTTAGTTTGTAGATATTAAACACAGCTGAACACAACACCAGGAATGAGTTTAACTTCACTTCTTACTAGAAAAGCAGGTCTGTCGCCATCTTCTAACCCGCTTGCTCTAGGGAGCGACTCACAATTACCACACTAACCAGTGCACAAGGGAGTGTGTCAAAACTACCTCTCATGATACAGTCCCTCTGAGAGAATCATGCACATGAAATGTCCAAACGGCAGGATAGAACACAAGACTGACACGGAGCCCAAGTTTCTGTCCGTGAAGAAAAAAACTCGCCGCTGCCACCAAACAGATATAAAATCCTGGGTTCGGTTTAGGGCTTTCATATAGTAACGCTTCAGGGTTAAGGCGGGCGCCCTTGCCACATCAGGTCAGCCCCCCACCCTCAGAAACTCGAACCCGGGACTCCCGTGTCACTCAACAGGGACCCAGCCCGGTGAGCCACAGAGAGATCTCTTTAGAGCCCAGTAGCTGTGGTCCTGCTATCACAGGGAAGGGCGGCGACGTCACCGCTCTGGTAAGCCGGCTCTTACACACCCTGATGGCCGTATGCGTTACAATATGAAGGAAAACAGAGCTTTCACCGGGCGATTATCTCGATTTATTGGGAACTAAAATAAAGAAAAGAGCAGGAAAAAGGAGTAACGGGCACAGCGCGTCCACACCGCACTTTCCCGTGAGACACAGATCAAATAAAACTGATTTTATTTAATCGTTAAACGTAACTAAGAGGAGCCGTGTTCTAGACTGTCAGGGTCTGGAGCTGCTCACAGACACAGCGCTGGTGATAAACTACAACTCCCATAACCACCCTGAGCCACTTCCGGTCTGCGTCACAGTCCCTATTCCTCCTGGCTGTGGTGATGTCAGTGGGTCCCTCCCCGTTCTGGCAGCTTCACGATCACGGGCGCGCGCAGGAGAGACTCACACGGGATTTCATTTTTAAAAGTTTATTTTCTCAAAATTAAAAAAAAAACGCAGCAGGGTTTCCAGAGATATTTACAAGTCAGGAGTACAGCAGGCTGGTACCGAGTTGTCACGCTCTCTCTCGTACATTTAATTTTTCCTCGTTTAATTTTTTTTTATATAACGCATTTAAACACGAAACAACATCGTCATCATCTACAATAAATACTATATTTCTGACATCACCTCACTGCCCGTCAGTAAACCAGTCTCCCAGTATGAGCAGTGGGCCAGAGAGCTGGGAGAGAGTCAGCCTGTGTTCATGAGTCAGTGACGGGTTTAATCTCCCCACTGACAGCAGG